TTTATCTTCCTTTTTAAAAAAATTTAGTAATTGGTGCTTAGATTCAACTAAAGAAATGGAATTCAGTTAAAATGTTCAACTTTGGTTTTAGAAAACAGTAGGTCTGAAAATTTTATTTTTAGTACTCTGTTTTGTAAACAAAGGAGAATCTTTATTCACTTGAAAGGAATGGAAGTAGAAGTTGTAATTAGGTGTCTTTACAGAGTTACTCATAGCTTCTAATCTTTTGCCACTTGTTTCCAGTGCCACTTTTTCCACTCAAAATTATAAAACCATTCACTAACTATCAAAGCCCAGTTTTTGCTGACCTGAGGCCCAAGCAGAGATACAGTCAGAAGTGATTTGTTAGTATGCAAGTCTACTTTGCTGAAAAATCTAAAAAACACTAATTCAAACGAGGTTTTAGAAATTCCTTTTGTATAATTTTTCCTTAAGACACTTGCAATTTATATTACTGATTTCCTATCTGTTTTGTGGTAAAACAATTCTGAGCATGAATACCTAACATATGTATCATTTTTGTTTATAAATCACATATATGTACTAGAGAATCATAATTATTGCTATGAAACAAAAAATAGAAGTAAAAATATGATAAATGTGGAAAGAAATTTTATTTTTCTCTGACCTTAATAACATACAACATACATGTTGAAAAATAATTTAGACTGCAGCTGAATGGTAGTATTTGAGGTTTTCCTTCTGAAGACTGAAAGCTTATCCTTGTGTTTTACTGCCCCACAGAGGCTGAAGGAGGACATGCACCTACTAAAATGCTTGTCAATGACTGCATTTGTGAAAAGGAACTTAAATGATAGGTAAATGCATACCACGTGTTGTCTGCTGAAAATTAGACACAGGTGCAAAGATAATTTCTCAAAAGATCCTATTATAGTAATAACTACTTGCTTAGAGATCAAGTTTCTAGTGCCAGAAAGTAAATAAATAACAATAGTAAGAAGGAACATTCTGAAGCAAAGAATGAGCATCAAAAAGTTTAATAACTCAACTTTTGCTTGCTGAAAAATCTAATCAATGAAGGAAAGAGCTCCTTAAGGCATCAAGAAGGGGGAGAAATTGTTTTCCCACTAAGGAAAGGGAGAGGCATTAATCAAAATTGGGAACTGATGAAATATTTATTGAGATTTTCTTAAAAAACTTACTAGGTATGTAGACAATCAGAAAAAGTACAATAAGGAATGCTGTACAATTGCATACAGACCTTCCCTCAGATTAAAATATATTTTTCTTATTTCTACCTGACCTACTTCCTCAACATCTCTGGTGTCCTTTGAGAGCCTTCCCTTTCCCTCTCCAAATTAGCAGTTTTCAATCAGGTGCCCTTCCTCTTCATCCTACCCACTTTTCATCACCCTCTGAGTGAGACTATTTTTTTTAAGCAACTGACGTGACTGGAATTCTTGGTTTCCTTCTATACTTTTGAAATCCAGGAAGTCAAAGACTTATTTTGTTCATTTCATTTCTAGCACTTAACAAAAGACCTGCCATTCTAGAATGTAGTCAGTAAGTATATGATGAAGTAACTTGATGAGTTAAATGAAATGTATCTCAGTTTGTGGAATAATAACAAAATTTGGGTTTTCATGAGGATCAAGGAGACAATATTGTAAAAGTGGTCTGGTCAATACAAAACTTTACGTATTTAAGTTGAAAGCTGTATCACTTGGAACATAGAGAATTCAGTAATTTTTACTAGGGTAGGAAGCTACAGAGAGAGAAAACAAAATAACTTGCCTTAAGGATGCTGGACATAGGACCTACCGGAGGCACAGGAGTTAAAGATACAGCAGTTTCAAACTATGGCTAGTCGTGGCAACACCAGTTAGATCCCTTGCCAGCCAGGAAGCTGACACAGCAGACCTCTCCTGTCTCACTGGCTACTTCCTTCAGCAGTGTATTTCAGTAGAGCTGCCTATTCTGCTCCCTGCTCTGTCTTTGGACAATCCTCCTCTCTTCACCCTCCCCCCCCCCAACCCCATCACAGTTCTTGCATACAAAATAAATAAGTCTAAAAAAAAAAAAAACAACGCTGGACATATTTGCTGAGATAGCTGCTCACCTTTCAATAGAAGGAGAATAAGATACATTTTTAAACTTTAACCTGAAAAACTGAGATATTTCTGCTAAGTAAAAACCCACCAGAGATACTAACAGTACTTGGACAGGCAGTTTTAATTTTTTCAATCCTCCATTTTGTTAATATATTTAGCTTCAGGAAAAGAAATAGTGAAAAATGAGATGCTTGAAAATCAGTGATGGAGTCACTTTTTCCTTCTTGCCTCAAAAATATAAAGACCTTAATAGTTTATATAAAATATTTAAAAATTTTTCAATAATGATATTCAGTTAAGTCATTAAGCTTATCAAAGGGGAAATGGGTAATCATCACTAAGTTTTTGTTTAACTCAGGTTCTGGAAAAATGAGAGGGTATGTGTGTGTGCACGTGCATGTGTGAGTGATTAAAAAAGGGAAAGGGAATCAATTTCTCTTACATTTTTAAAAATCTACTTTAAAGCAGATTGTATTCTTATAATTAAGAAATGGTACCACATCAATAGATATGAGAGTAAGATATCTAGATATTTGTAAAATATGCATGTCTAAGTGATGTAAAAATAAACTATTATATTATTTTAAAAAATATGCATGTGTACATTGGATTAATGCTAAATACAGCCTTGAATAAATATTTATATATATACACATATATATAATTCACAGCATTTGTCCCTTCTGGCATTTAATGTTCTTCAAACCAATGTTTTCAGAACAACAGTTATATCATCACCTGAAAATCAGATAGAATGTGAATTCTTGGGTTCAACCCTGTTCTTATTCAGTCAAAATCCTCGGAGTTCTATGATTTAGCAAGTTTTCCAGGTGATTCAAACTCAGTGTACCAAAGCTGGGAAAGGAGAGCTTTTAATACTTAGTTCACTAAGTTTTACTGGCTCACAAAATGTAGAACAAAGGAATTCAAATCTCTATAAACACACATAAGGAAAGTTTCCTGGTGCCCAAACAAGTGTTTGTTGGATGAAATGATGTTAAAGTAAAAACCACAATTCAAAAAATAAAAGAAAGTAAACAGTAGTTTTCCTAATAGTGGCATGGAACAATCATTTCTCAGGGGTTTCATAGTCTCAAGCAATAATGTAATTATTTCATTCAGAAAACAGACTATATGTACTATTTTGAGAAAATTACATAGAAAATGACGTTTAGTTTCAACATCTCAATAATACATTTTAGGTTTCCATTAAAATAGTTTCATAACTTTATGTCCCAAAATACCTTAAGTCAGAGTAAGACTGATGTTAATGCTTACCTTGGATCCCCTAGGCCTGCTCATATTTGTTGCCACAAGCTTTACTGACAAGAGTATTTTGAAGTTGATTACTCAATTAATTGCTGAATGAAGAACTAATGCCCCCACT